CACAAAAGGACTGGTGGAATAACCCCAGTACTGCCACAAAAAAAAAAAAAAGGGAAAGAAAAAAAAAATAGCATGAGCCACCATGCCTAGCCTTTTCCTTGATTTTTAAGCAATAGTTTTTGCTACAATACTATTTTTATTTTATTATAACTTTATTATATTATTTTTGAGCTTTGTAAAAGCAGTGTATTCCATGTACCCTTCTGAATCTTGCCTTAAAAAAATCAGTGCCTTTGTTTTGTGTTGCTATAACAGAATACATGAGATTGAGTATTTTTATAAGGAACAATATTATTTCTAATGGTTCTGTATGTGCAAAACCAAGATCAAGGCTGGCATATGGTGAGGGCTTTCTTGGTATGTCATCCCATAGCAGAAGGCAAAAAGGCAAGAGAGGCGACAAGCTGTGTCTGTGCATGTCAGAAGAGATTTAACCTCTTTTTATAGTACTATTAAGCCATTCACAAGTGCAGAGCCCTTCTGACCTAAACATCTTCCATCAAGGCTCCCTTCCTGACGTATACTGTTATATTGGTATAGCCCAGGCTGTCTTGGAACTCTCTCTGTAGCCTCTTCTGGCCTGGAATGTGCTCTTCTCCTGCCTCAGTCACCTGAGTGCTAGAATTACAGGTGCCTAGTTCAGCCTTACAAATTTGATTAGGGGATTTTTCTCTTTTATTTTCCAATATAGTTTATACAACATTGGCATAATATGTATCTTGAAAATTTGATAGAGTTTTCATCAAATATTCTATGTCTTATTTTTTTGAGGAGGAATTTTAACCATTATTTTATTAAAATAATTTGGGACTATTGACATTTTCTGTGTTTTCTGAGTCTGTTTGCTAAGTTCTGTTTTTCTATGGATCAATTTTGTCAAAATGTTCTAAATTACTAGTAAAAGTTGTTTATAGAATTTTATTTTAATTTTTTTGCTGTATCTGATTTAATCCCATTCTCTTTTTCTTTCTACTTATTTCTACCTTAAAAAAATATACTGAGAGTTTTGTCTATTTTACTAAACTTGACAGAAGACTAACTTTGGATATTATTTGCTCTGATTGTTAGTCTAATAGTCTTTTATAGTTGGTAGCTTTTTGAGGTATAACTTCCATACTGCAAGATCCACCCATTTTAAATGTATAATTCAGTGATTAAATTTATAGGACTGTGCAGTCATTACCATAATCTTGTTTCAGAACATTTCCATCACACCAAAGACCTCCCTTATGCCCATTTGTGGTTGGTCCCCATCCCAAGGCAACTGCTGATCTAGTCTCTACAGATTTGCCTTTCCTGGATAATTTGTATAAGTGAATTATACAATATGTGGTCTTATGCATCTGGCTTCTTTCATTTAGAATGTTTTTTGAGTTATCCATGATGTAGCATATATCAGTTGTTCTGATCCTTTTTATTGCTAAATAGTATTTCACTGTATGGATACATTTAGTTTATACATTCAGTAATTGATGGGCATTTGGAATGATGCTGCTGTTAACATTGGTGTTCACATTTTTGTGCAGATATATGTTTTCATTTCACTCTAGACATGGAGTTGCTGAGTTTTATGAACTTTTTAAAAACTGTTGTTTTCCAAAATGGCTTCACTTTTTGATGGGAATGTATGAGGGTTCTAGTATCTCTGTACTTATTATCTGTTTTTTTTTTTAAATTATAGCTCTTATTGAGGGTGTTGAAGTGATATCTCATGACAGTTTTGATTTGCATTTTCCTAGTGGCAAATGATACTGAGCATCTTTTCAGGTAGCTTATTAGCTTTAAAATACCTTCTTGGGAAAAATGTCTACTCATATCTTTTGAACTTGTTTTCTTTTTTCTGTATATTTAAGCATCCCTTATTGTTGAGTTGTAAGATTTCTTACTAGTGTCAGGTTAGAAGTCTTTTCATAGATATATGTGGTTCAACTATTATTTTTCAATCTTTGCCTTATTTTTTAGGTTTTCTCTATGTTTTCTTAAAAATTGTAACCCAGGCACTGGTGGCTCAGGCCTGTAATCCTAGCTACTCAGGAGGCAGAGATCAGGAGGATTGTGGTTCAAAGCCAGCCTGGGCAAATAGTTCTGTGAGACCCTTTTTTGAAAAACCCTTCACAAAAATAGGGCTGGTGGACTGGCTGAAGGTGAAGGCCCTGAGTTCAAGCCCCAGTACCAAAAAAAGAAATTTGGTAGTCAGATGCAGTGATACACACCTGTAATTCCAGCTACTCAGGATGCTGAGGCAAGAGAATAACTGGAGTCCGTGATTAGGCACAGCTTGGGCAACATAGCAAAGTCCTGTCTCATTTAAATGAATGAATGAATGTATTTAAATTTTGGTAAAATACTGTAGTCATTTTAAGTGTACAGTTGTGCAATTCAGTGACATTAGCATATTAACAATGTGTACACCATTACCATTATCTACTTTTCAGCATTCCACATAGAAACTCTACCCATTAATCCCTCATTTTTCTCTCTCTCCAACTCCTGGTAACATCTGTCCTCCTTCCTGTTTCTGTGAATTACGATTCTAGATACTGCCCATAAATGGAGTTACGTAATACTAGTTCCTTTGTTTCTGGCTCATTTGACTTAGCACAGTGATTTCAAGGCATATTCATATTGTAGCATGTATTAGAACTTTGTAACTTCTTGTGTCTAAATAATATTCTTTATGTTGCATTAATTTTCTAGGGGCGATACAACAAAACATCATAGACTAGGTGGCTTAAAAAGCCAGAAATTAATTTTCTCATGGTTTTAGAGGTTGGATGTCTAAAACAAAGATGTTGATTGATGTATTTAGTTTCTCCCAAAGTCTCTCTTCATGGCTTTAGATGGTTTTGTTTTTTTCTCTGTCATACCACTTTTCCTCTGTGTTCATCCCTAGTTCTCTTCTTAGAAGAACACCAGCCATAAAAGGTTAGAGCCTTCCCATGTGCCTCATTTAACCTTGAATACCTCTCTAAAAGCCCTGTGTCCAAATATAGTCACAGTCTAAGGGTCTAGTGATTAGAACTTTAACATAGGAATTTTTAGGGGATACAATTGATTCTGTAGCCCTTGTATACACCACATTTTGCTCACTCATTGAGTTGTTGATAGGTATTTGAGTTGCTTCTGGCTTTTGAGTCTTGTGAATAATACTACTATGAACGTCGGTATATAAGTATTTGTTTGTGTCTCTGTTTTTAGATCTAGGAGTGGAATTTTTAGGCTTTCTGTGTTTTAACATTTTGAGCAGTTGCTGTATCATTTTATATGCTCCTCAGGGCCTCAATTTCTTCCCTTCCTTATCGACACTTATATTTTGCATGTGTGTGTGTGGTATCTAATTGTGATTTTGATTTGCATTTTCTTGGTGACAAATAATATTCAGTCTTTTTGTGTGTTTAATAGCCATTTGTGAATCTTCTTTGAAGAAACATGTACTTTCCAAATCCTTTGCCCACTTTTAATTGTACTGTTTACTTATTACTGATTTTTTGTTGAGTTATAGTTGGTTCTTAAATATTTTGGATACTGGACTCTTATCAGATATAATTTGCAAATATTTTTTCTTATTTGGTGAATTACCTTTTTAATCTTTTGAAAGTGTCCTTTTTCTAATGCCTTTATTAATAGTCATATTGGAACTTGATTTCCTCTAGTTCTTTTGTCTATGGTTTCCTGTAGCTCCTAGAGCTTTTTTTTTTTTTTTTTAAGGATAGTTGATATAACATATATCAATTCTGTTATCTTTCTGGACTTCCTCAGGGATGCTTTTTGTCTAGTGAATGGGCCATAAACTTTGCTTTCTCTTTGTATGTTCCGTAATTTTTTTGTTGAGAAATGGACATTCTGAGCATTATTAATATGGTTAATCTGTACATCTGTTTCTGTACATCTCAGCCATCACTAGTTTTTGCTTGTTGAAAGCTGGACCATCTATTTGTGAGTTTTCCAAGTTATTTTTGCAAAGTGTATATTCCTTGTGTATGGCAACAAGTTTCTGTTCTATTTCTATAGTCAACTAGTGACCACAGAATTCCTAGACCATAGAATTCTTAGTGACCATAGAATTATAGGTTAGTTGTGTGGGGCCTGTAGAGGAAATTAGCACATTGGTATTGATAGGAGACCTTTAGTGGGGTAAGTTCCCATGTCAAGAGGACTGTGAAAAAATCTCTAGACTGAGGCTGCAAGTTTTCATGGGACTAATAGTCTGGACATGTGTCTGAGCAGAGTTCTACTGGATGGTTTCATACCCATACCAATGACACATTCTGCAGTAGCTGAAATCTATAGGGGAGCCCCTTTTTCCTTCAGTGCCTTCAGCTTTCCCTGTTTATTTTAAGGGAGAAATGCTTAAAAGAATTTTGTTACCACAGAACAAATACTGAAGGATGAATAGAGAGTTAAGAGGCAATAAGTTGATATATTGCACACAAATATCAAACACTGTTTAATAGGCTATCCATTGTAGCTTCAAATTGTTTCTTCTAGATAGTCCTAATTTTCAGTATATTGATTATTGAAAGCCTTTGACCTAGATATTTTATGAAGTAGAGAATTAAGTCATTGTCTATGGCCTCTGAGATGAAATCTCCAAAGTTTTTAAGTAGAAATTACTCTGTGATGTCACCTATTCTTTTCTACTGTAAACCTAAGGAAATCCTCCTACCTGTGGTTTCCCACTTAGCTAGGATCACATGTGTGAACCACCATGTCCAGCTTGTTTGTTAAGATAGTCTCACTAACTTTTTGCCCAGGCTAGCCTTGAACCTTTATCCTCCCAAGTAGCTGAGATTACAAACATGAGCCCCAGCACCCAGCCTAAGCCAGGTGTTCTTTTAATTGAGTCATTTAGACTAAGCAATAGTAGTATAAGTAGTAGAAGAAATTTTATTTAAGAGTATTTTGTGTTTGCCTTGGGAAAAAAACATACTCTAAAATTTAATATTTAATAGCTCCTTGGTTGCAAAAAACACGATTTGTGTAACTTTTCTGTGTTTCAGAAATCTTTTTCCAAAAAGAACAAAGGAACTCAAATCAGTTGTTCATAGTGCTCCTGGCTGGAAATTATTTGGTAAAGTCCCTCCCAGAGAGAATCTTCAAAAAACTTCCAAAATCATTCAGCAGGTAAGTACTGGTATGGTTATATAGTTTGTCATATAGCTTTTAATGTGTTGTTTTAATAACCATATTCATTTTCATTTTTCTAGATATAAGGTTTGGGGATTATGGATATTTGTTAACTTTGTTTTCAACACTAGGCCACAATATTTCTATTATTTATGATTGTAAAAATTCTTTAAAGTAGTAAAACAGTGATTTGATTTCCCAGTTATTCTTTGGATAACTTTAAAAAGCAAGCAAACAAACAAAAAGAAACCAAAAACCCAGTCTGGCATTGGTGGCTCACACCTGTAACCTTAGTTAGTTGGGAGGCTGAGATCGAGAGGATTGTGGTTGGAGGCCAGCCTGGACAAATAGTTTGCAAGATCCCATCTCCAAAGTAACTAGAGCAAAATGGACTGAAGGTGTGGCTTAAGTGGTGGAGCACCTGCTTTGCAAGTGTGAAGCCTTAAGCTCCAGGCGCGGTCCCACCAAAAAAAAAAAAAAAATCGGGGTGGGGAGAATAATACTGTCAACCTCATAGAATTACTAAGAGTAAGTCAAAGAGATGATCTATGTAAAATACTTAGCACAAATTCTTGTTAAGTGTTTAATACATTTTAGCTGTTAGATGTTATATCATTGTTTTTGTTATTAACTGTTATGAAAAGACATTACGTGATCTGGAAAATGAACATTATTGTCAACACACCCTTTGGTCTCACCAGTTGAATTTGATAGGATTTCCAGTGCAACAGATTTTACAAATACTGCTGGTTATGAGCTGATAAAACAGTAAAAAGCAACAACTGAGTAGTTTATGCAGTTGAACTCCTTCGTTTGTCACCTTTTTGGTGTTCTGTCTAAATTCAGGACTTTGTGGAAAAAGTTGCCACATAATCTGTTTCTAGTCATTTAGAAACTAGTTCTTTTTGTATCCATATTAATAACAGTGTTCTTGAGTTCTTAAGACTTTCAAATGTTATTTGACTCTGAACTTGTGTTCTTTGGCACTAGATCAGTGATCCTGGAAAACAAGTGAGCCTGCATCAGTTTGCAGTATTTTGAAGTGCTTAAATTGGTGCTTATGTCCTTTTTTTTTCCTAATTGGAGCTACCAGATTTAACATAGCCAGCATCTATAAAAATAATCACTTTAAGGTAATAATCATCATTCATGTTGGAGAAAAATCTTCATTTAAGGATTTAATTGTGTTCCTTTTTTGCCCCAAAAAATGTTTTCCCAAGTGGTATTGGAAAATAACTTTTAGATCTTTAAAAACATTTTAGTTAATTTTATTTACAAGGAATTAAAATAGTAAATAGTTTGCTGGGACATAAAACTAGTGTGCTGTGATTTCCAAATAGTGGGCTAGGTACTCTGGTGTGAGGCATCTAATTCATAGGGGAAAACATTAGGATATTTACATTTTGGGGGGACAAACTTAGCAGTACTCCATATCTGTTAGATTTGGCGCAGACTGTTAACCTGAAGTATAGTTTCAACATTAAGCACTGTTGCATACTTTTATATGGCATTATACCTGTGAATCTGGTTGCTCTGAGGTTGCTGTGATAATAATCAGATACTGTACAAAAATTAGTATGGGATGAAAAAGAGGGTGATGGTGTTTAATCTGGTATCAAGATTTGAAGAGTTGTATAGTGTGTAATAGGCATACATGCCCAATTATGACATATTATTCATTGTAGCTGTTCAAGAATGACATCAGAGCTCGGTATTGTGGTGCAGACTTGTAATCTCAGTTAAGTAGGAGGGTTGTAAGTTCCAGGTTAGCCATAAAGGCAGGCTGTCTCCGAAAAAAACAAAATGAAATAAAACTTTTTTCTTTTAGCTTATTTATATTTTTTAAATGCTTGCTTAGTATTAAGCATTATTTTTTTGTGGTGTTCCATTTTTGGATGTTAATTCTTACTAAATTGTTTGAACATAGCTACTTATTTAACAGAATTATTGTTTATTTCTTTTAGTTTAGTGATGTCATAAAATAATTACTGAAACACTAACAGCATTGTTAACCTAAAATTGGTTAGGTTGGGAACCTCTGCTATTGCGGCGTCTTAAATTTTAGGTCCTCTTTTTTAGTCTGAAGTTACCTTTAGTCTAGGATTTTCCCAGAATACCAAGTTCGCCCTCTAGAGGCTAAATAGTGGTCTTGTTACTAAAGGTTTGTACAGGTATTCTTGACTTTTATGGTAATTTATCTTAAATATACATGTGCATATATTTTACAGTTATGCAGATTAACACTAATATTTTCTTACTGTAAGTCTCTGAATAATTTATTGGTTTAGTATCTGTATTTACTGATACTCTGTTTGCTTTTAATCTGCTGTTTTCATTTTGGATAGCCAAAGTCTCACACATGCTCTCTTTTATAAATATTGTGTGGAAATTTAATGAGTGGTTTGGGAAAGTACAACTCTTACTTGTATGAGAAGGCATGGAGCTGAGATGCAGTTGCTTTCCTCTTCAGCCCCGCTTTGGCCTTTTTATGATGATTTTTCCCAGCCACTTAATATTTTTTTTAGCAATCTAATTATGTGTAGCATCTGTATTTTTACTGGTTCTGTTTCTGTCACCTGTGACAAATGATGGGTAGTCAAGTCATTGTTCATCTGACCCTTTTCCTCAAAATATGAATCATTTACCATGTGATGAAACATGTTTCTGCTCTCCCTTTCTGCTTTCTCAGTATTACTTGTGTCTGTTCTCTATTCTGCATTTATCTAACTTTGTTATCCTCTTCCCTGAAATTGTCATTTTCAAAGTGGGCCTGGTTTTCTATTTATGGTAGTGGTAAATTTACAAGTTGCTGTCTCTGTTACAACACGAAAGTATCTTTTCCACAGTCTTGATTTTTGAATTCTGTAAAATGTTATGAATGTAAAGTTGCATTTGAGACCCTTTACCATGTACTCCTTTCCAATAGATTTTTTTATGTTTAGAATCTGAAATGAAAAATGATGATATTACCAGTAAAGCCGTGAATACTATGAAATGTGTCATATTTTAGGATAGGGTCTTAAGCTATGAAGGCTATATGAAACAAGTAGTAGTTACTAATAAAAGTATAAAACTGCTTGAAAACAAAATGAAGCAGTGCTAAAAGTATTAAGGCCAAAATAAATTCCCTTGAACTTTGTAAAGATGCCACCCTTGCTTTCTGAGTGGTAAAGAAGTAAGATTTATTAGCAGTTTAGAGTAGTAATTTTATTTCATTGGATAATTATTAAAGCAGGTATTCAGAAAGGCATTGCTATATCTGAATATAATAATGTTTATTGGGCCATAATTTTTTTAGTGAAAAGATATCTGGAGGAATTTAACACTAAGTAAGTAAGTAGGAAAGTAAGGCTTGATTTACAAACTTTTTTTCTCTAATTATTAATGACACACATAACAAAGTATTATCTTTATAAAATCTAAAACATTATATCATTTTACTTTCCCATTAAATTTTTAGGCCTTTATATATACAAAAACTCATTTTTGTGTATAAAATGTAACATTTTTACATATGAATATTTTTACATATACAGTATTATGTACTTTTTCTCTTTGTTTTTGTTTTTTGACAGCACTGGTGTTTGAATTCAGGGCCTTGTGCTTGTTAGGCGGGCACTCTATCACTTGAGCCCTTTTTGCTTTGGGCTGTTTTTCAGTTAACTTCTCACACTTTTTTGCCTGGGCAGGCCTTGAACTAAGGTTATATTGCCTATGCCTCCCACTAGTTGGGATTACAGGCATGAGCCACCATGCCTGTCCCTTCTGCAACTTAATTTCAAGAACAAAATATCATTAATATATAGATAAAATTTAACTTTATATGTTTCATATCGTTTTTCATAGATACATGAAGTTTCTAAGTGAAAGTTGGTTAAATATTTAAAAAATATTTTATTCACGTAGTAAATTATTCTAAAGTCTGATCAATTTTAGTGCTTTCCATGGTAACAGTAAAGAAATATTTTAAAAATGGGCTAGGGATGTAGCTTAGTTTTAGAGCACTTGCATAGCATTCACAAGGCCCTTGGTTTGATCCCAGCACCTGAAAAAGAAAAAAGAATATTAAAATATTTTAAGATATGGCTGGTGGAATGGCTCAAGTGGTAGAGTACCTGCCAGCAAGTATGAGGCCCTGAGTTCAAACCCCAGTACTGCCAACCCCTTCACATCCCCCCCACTAAAAAAAAACATTTTAGGATAAGGTCATACTGATTGAAATTTGGTCTTTAACTTGATCAATTCCCAAATCATAAGAATATTAATATTATTGTTTGAGGATTATCACATGTGTTCTCTTGCAGGTGTGAAATTCCTGCTTGTGGCCTTTTGAACCAGTTGGTGAGCCATGCTAAAAATTGCATCTATTAATTATAAATAGTATCTTAATTATATTGTCACTCAATTGACTTGGTTATTGGCTTTTCTAAGTTAATAGGTAAAATTGGAAGGCAGCTAATTTGTCTCCTGACCTTCAAATTGAAAGTGAGAATGATTTCAAATGTAAGATTATAATACAATTGCATCCTAGATTGAATATGTCAAGCTGACATTCTCTCAGTAGAATTTTTGGGAGTTAGACACTATTTTTGTATTGGCAACTTCCATATGAAAATGAGATTGTAGTACTTGCACAGTAGTTTGAGGTTTATGTCATTCTCCTAGTGAAGTTTTAGTTCAGTAATTTAATCACTTTCACATAACTTGAGAGGCAAGGAAAAAAGTTTTAAGTTACAGATGTCTTAATCTTTGCACTTTAGACTTTCCAACAGTAGGTCACTCTCCTTAGTTAAGTCTTTGCTTTTGAGGTTTTTTTTTTTATTGTAGGAAGCAAAATATATGGAAAGCATAAAACTGCTTTGTGAGCTATAGTTAAAGATATAACTACTATGTTACATATAAGTGTTAGAGCTTAATTTTTTGGTTACTAATACTATTGGTGTAGTATTATATTTGAAAATAAATCATTGGTTTAAACTATGCTTAAATTGACTAAG